TAATTTGGGAAATGTTGCTTGCACCCTGTGTCCTGTCAAAACAATTACTTCCTCCAATGTCACAGTCAGCTGATGTGACATTGTTTTCATGACATAGCTTCAGAGGCTGAGGAGAGCCGGTATTCTCAGTACACATGGATGAAACTACATAGGTGTCTTCCTCTGACCAACTTGTAACATTTGTCCAAGATGAGTGAGAAGAATTCATATATGAGCACTGCCTCTTTTGCTGTCTACTGATATGGGCTACAGGGGGAAAAAATAAATCTTTGAAGCTTTCTAACAAGCAATTCTTGGCATGTGGGTTGGATTGGTATTTGAACTGATAGTACTCGAGCTATGACAGGAAAACACAGTGGCTTGTGACTAGAATCTAGTTGATTCTATGCCCCACGCATTTGGGAATATTATTCAATGCACAGGGAAGCTGGAGTGGCAAACAGGATGTCAGTGGAATGGCAGTAGGTACTTGATGAGTATATAAAGTTGTGAACTGTATTAAAGTTAAGCCCAGTGCATGCCTCTTTGCTATTTTATGTGACAGAGCAGGCATTCAACACTGACAGCTCCTCTTCCACTCTGAAGTTCACTGGCTTTCATGGAGTAAATTTTGAATTACTTGTCTGAGCTCAGAAAAGACATAAGGGTTTTCCATCACGAATGTAGCTCTTCCTTTGCAGAATACTTCCCTGATCAGCATAGGCTTGCTCTGAATGCTTCTTTCCAGGAGCAGAATATAACCTAGGTTATTAACCTGAGGGTTGTGAACAGGAGGTTGTGGGTCCTGGTATGGACCACTGATTTTCTTCAACGCTTAGCCGGACAGTTGGCCATAGTGATCGTTCGCCATTTGGTCCGTTCCTGTGCAACCACAAAGGCTTGATGGCCTGAGAGTTCAACAGTGGATCTAGTCCACATTAAATGAAAATGTGGCATGCATTAAATAGCTTACTAAAATCAAAATACACTGCAGTATGACTACTGTATTTGTTTATCCACAAAGGCCCCAAATCCTGCACTGATTTATGCTCATGCTTGACTATGCACTCAACACAATGGGATTACTCAAATGTGCTAAATCAAGTAAGAGTGTAAATCTTTGTAGGATAGGGGCCTCAGAGCCATGAAATGCTTGCTCTAGAGATCAGTCACAAGATATGGGATTGATATAGGAATTAATAGGTGATTTTTTTTGCCTGTGTTGTACATAAGGTCAGGTCCCTTCTGACTTTAAAACCTGTTAGTCCATATTCTGTGTTTTGTTTTTCATTAACCTACACTGTCCACTGTTTCTCTTTTTCTCTAACAACTGACATACTGACTACTTTGAAAGTTTTTCTACAAATTTACCAGATAGTGAAGTAAAAAACTCTTACCAGTACTTCTCAGTATCTCTCCCTCTCCTGTTTCTCTCTTCATAAATAAGAATGTTTGCTGGATACATGTCACAACCTCACAAACTCTTACAAATAATAACCACTGGTTCCAATGCTACAGTTCTCCTATTGTCCTAGCCTATTCAGCAATTTCTAGAGAATCTTACTGAGCCTTGCTAAACTGAATAGAATCAGTTGCTGTGGAATTAACTTCTTCCTTCCTCATTCTGCTTTATGATCGCTCCCTGTCATTGTTATCTGATATTGCACTGAGCACTCTATTACTATGATCATTTCTAGAGATGACAAACAACATTTTAGCTGCCTCTTTAGTGTATTTTTTCTTAGTCCCTGATATTCTGCAGACCCCACCATTTGTGAGCAGCAAGATTCATCCACAAAAGTTTTAAAATATAAGTTAAAACAAACAGCCCCCCCCTCATTTTCTTCTAATTCACAAACTACCTCTGAGAGCTTTCCATTAATCAAGGCCATGTGACGAGTTTGATACTTTTACCTTTTGAAGTAAGATCACTTGGCCCATACATACTGGTAGCTCTATTTGTTTTTAAAGCATTATATAAAAACTAACTAAACTAATCCTCAGAGCACCATTGTTTGGTAGGCAAGTACCATAACAAAGATGGTACATGGTATGTAACAAACCATCCCCATTACAAAGATGGGAAAACTGAGGTTGAAATATTAAATGACTTTCCACAGGTCACAGAGGGAATCTGTCAGAAGCAGGATCAAATCTCAGGAGTTGCTGGCTCCCAATCCTGGGCATAGACCCCATGACCTCTCTCATTCTGATTGTTGAGCTGTTAGTACTAGGTACGTATAGTAGTGAGTGGATAACAGAATTCTCTGGGGCACAGAAGAGAATGGGATGACTGGAGGAGTGAGTCTGTGGATACAAAAAAATATTCCTTTTCCATTTCAAACTGCAGAGTTTGATGCCTCATTTACAATGATATCCAGTAAAAACTAGGATTAATTTCTTTGGATTCACGATAACCAGATAAAAATGGAGGAATATAAATGCCTTCTACTGCACTCAGCTTCTATTTCACCTAATTAAGAGTAGCTTAAAACATTTCAGATTTCAGTTTAAGTAACAATTCTGGTAGACAGATGCTCATTTGAGGCCCAAACCATGAAAATTAGTTCTTTTTTAGAAGCACAAGTTACTGTCCTGCACAAAAAGTTTTAAGGTCTTTTAAACAAACTATATAATCTGAAAATATAGACTACAGAACACAAAGAGTAATGTTTGCACTATACTTGGGTTTCCTTAGTGACAAATTGGTTCATTTAGTTAATAAATGGAATGATGTATTTAATATTATTCTGACAATAAATGACTAGGCAGAAATTTGGATATAGTATCAAAGGCTCACTCTGTTGCAAAAGGAAAGAAAAAAAAGAATTGCTGTTCAGAATGCTTGTAATATGGAACATTTTGATAACCAATTTTCTCTTCACTAGTCCTACTTTTGCTGGGGTATTGAATGGATACAGACCCACGTAATCATACATTTCAGGTGGCTGCATGCCTCATTCATCAAGGCACAATTGCTTTCTCCTGGAAATCTCACTCTTTGCTGTATCACAGGTGACAGTAAATTTTGGATATTACCAATTTGCAGACTCCTGGCTACCTGTATTCTGGAAGTGTGAAGTTATTAAAGCACATTATGAAATTATCTGTATTCTCATGTAATTTGCATGGGAAGTTTTTCAAAGAGTGAAATACTTCTTTTCTTTTTTTGCAGATAATGTCAAGTCTCTATTGTTTGCCTGTTTGCTAATGCATTATGATATATTTACATATCATCATAACTGTGCATGCTCCTTTTCAGAGGTTCTCTTTTTCTTAAAAAAAACAACCACCTGTTTATGTCCCAAAGGGCATGAAATCTGGGATTAGACAAATATATGCAGATAGATACAGGGAAGAGGTATAGGGAAAGGAAGTACACGGATTAAAACAAATTAAAATAGTGTGACTTATATTACATAGCCAGCAAATCATACAGTGTGGTTTTATTTTTTAATAGAAGCAAGAGTGCACATTGGAGGGGAAAATATAAATTACTCATTTATCTTAAAGGGTTCTATATTAACTATCAACTCAGGAGAGGGTTCTGGGCATCATTGTGGATGGTTCAATGGAAACCTCTTCTCAGTGTGCAGCTGAGGTGAACAAAACAAAGAAGATATTTGGACACATAAGGAATGGGATGGAAAATAATCTAATGCCTTTATTTAAGCCAATGGTATTGCCTCAGCTGGAATACTATGTAAAGTACTCATCACCTTACCTCAAAAAGGATAGTTCAGAACTGGAAGGTGTTCAAAAAGAGCAACGAAAATGATAAAGGGCCTGGAAAAACTATCATCTGAAGAGAGATTGAAAATATTGGGTTTACTTTAGGAAGGAGATGAGTATGAGAAAAACACAAAATAATGAATTGTCTAGAGAGAGTAGAACAGGAAGTTATATCTTCCTTGTCTCATAACATAAGAACAAAGGGACAGTCAATGAAATTAAAGGGTGGCAGATTCAAAACTGATAAAAGGGAATTTTTTCACAGAAGGCATAATAAGACTGTGGTACTCATTGCTACATGAAGTTGCTGATGACAAGCATTTAGCAAGATTCAAGAAGAGACTGGGAATTTATATAGCTATCAAGAATATCCAGAGTTATCATAATTAATGATAAATATTTTGGAAGGGATATAAAAATCTCATTCTTCTGGATAAAGCCAATGTCTATCCATTAGAGATCAGAGTGAGATCTCATTTGGGGTGCAGGGTTGAGGGGGAAACACACAGATTTTTTCACATCTGCTATGACACAGTTCTTAAACTTTCTTCTGAAGCATCTGGTATTGACCACTGACTGAGACAGAGTAAGGTTATCAGTTATGGATCAGTTATATTTATTCCATGAACATTCTGGGAATTGTACTTCATATAAACTCAGCTAAAACAATGGGTGAAATCATAAGGACAGCTTTGGTCATCAATTCAATTTCATTGGTGTTAATTCATGCACTGAGAGCAGGATTGAGAACAGTTATATAAGAACATAAGAATGGCCATACTGGGTCAGACCAAAGGTCCATCTAGCCCAGTATCCTGTCTACCGACAGTGGCCAATGCCAGGTGCCCCAGAGGGAGTGAACCTAACAGATAATGATCAAGTGATCTCTCTCCTGCCATCCATCTCCACTCTCTGACAAACAGAGTCTAGGGACACCATTCCTTACCCATCTTGGCTAATAGCCATTAATGGACTTATCCTCCATGAATTTATCCAGTTCTCTTTTAAACACTGTTATATGAATTAGTCCCATTTAATAAATACAATCACTTTCTGGGAACCTCCAGGGCTCTGAGTTATGATCCTATTTCTAGTTGGCAGTTCTTTTGTCACAAAATTTTGTCCTGCATTTTACAAGTCTGATCTAATTTTCAAGTACTTATCTTCTCAGGTAAAACAAACAAACAAACTTGAATAGCCAAAATTGACAAACAAAAGGGGGGGAAAGAAGCCCACATCCAAGTCCATACCCCTAAACACCAAACAGACAAAAATAATGGTGGAATTACTTGACCAAATGCTTGATTAGGATGTCCAGCATCTCTCTGTTTTTCTCTGGTAATTTATGAACAAGTGCATGTACTGCCTCAACCCTGTAGTTTTGGTCATCGGATTCTGTTAAATAAAAATAAGGAGAATGTTATTAAATTAAGGTGCACCCAAAGATGTGTGTAAGGATGATGTTAATAACACTACACTAGGGCACACTACACATTACAATAAGGCAAACCATCAATCTGCTGTTAAAACTGCCTTCCAAAAATCTGAGAACAATTTAGATATGTTTATTACATGAACATTCTGGGAATTGTACTTCAAATAAACTCAGTTAATACAATGGGTGAAATCCTGAAGTCAGCAGGAGTTTTGCCATTGATTTCAACAGAGCCAGGATTTCATAGAATCATAGAATATCAGGGTTAGAAGGGACCTCAGGAGGTCATCTAGTCCAACCCCCTGCTCAAAGCAGGACCAATTCCAAACTAAATCATCCCAGCCAGGGCTTTGTCAACCCTGACCTTAAAAACCTCTAAGGAAGGAGATTCCACCACCTCCCTAGGTAACCCATTCCAGTGCTTCACCACCCTCCTAGTGAAAAAGTTTTTCCTAATATCCAACCTAAACCTCCCCCACTGCAACTTGAGACCATTACTCCTTGTTCTGTCAAACAAGGAGTAATCATTTGACCCAATGATCTTTAACAGCATCTAACCCCCCTTTATATTTCCTCTTATGGTGGTTTGAGGAGAGATGAGGATAATTAGCACTTTATGTATTTGTAAGTATCAGAAAAAAATCCAAATAATTAAGGTTGCACAGGCACAGAACCTTAATTCTAGCATTTATTAACTTTCGAGTGCTTGACTTTTAAACCTAGATATTCTTTTAACAGAGATTCTGTGTGTGTGGGTGTGTGGAGGAGGGCGGGAGAGAGAATATTACGTACATACATACTTTGATTTTGAGTTCCTCGGGGGCAGGAACTGTCTTTTTATTATGTTAGTACAGAACCCAGCACAGTGAGCCTGGGGCCTATGATTGGGGCCAGTTGGTGCTAATGCACTACAAATACATAATAATGTCCACGTATGTACAATTTCATATCTCTTGAAATAAATCATTGGCTGGGTTATTTGAAACAAAAGTAGGCTGAACATGGGAAGAAATAGTGTAAGGAAAGTTCTCCAGAAACAGTGGGTAAGAGATGGATCAAAAAGAGTATTACTCTCCTGAAGACTTACTAATTTCTTTAGTGTTTTACTTACTAACGGCAATAATGAAATCCTTGTGCAACTTGAAGGTCATCAGTGGTTCTGTAAGACACCTGGTCATAAAATTTAAAAAAATATTTTAGAAAATGTATTACTTTTTAAAATCCTTTCTTGTCTTTTATTGCTGTTGCTACTATTTCAATATGCTTTTATATGATGACCGTCACCTTAGCATCTGGGTGCCAGATAATTATGTCCAATGAAACGAATTCATTGCCTACAGGCCACAACCATAGCACCATTCAGTCACGTGCAAGGTCTGATGAAAATCTTCTCTAGCTAAATCCAGTGCCACTCTGTGAGTAACTTAAAGAGGAATGCCAGTAGCATTGCCTTGATCACAGACCACAGCCCTGACTGCCTTCTCACTTACGAAGCTGTAAAATCAGGGATAACTCCACTGAAATCATCAGCAGTGTTGCTGATGGTAGAAAAGTGAGGGGCCAATTAGGCTTCAAGCCTGAGCTGGTGAAATCCAAATATATCATGAAGACCCCAGTATGGCACTGAAATCCTGATATGTAGTGAACTGGGAAGACTCTTCATTCAAAAGGCAACTTATGAATTGTCTGCAGTCATAAGAAACATTATTACTGCCATTTCTTATTATAAAATTGCATAAGTAACAACCTCACCCTAACCAAGATTTTCAAAAGTGATTAGTGATTTTTGATGCCTCCATTTTTGGATGACCAACTTGACTGAGTTTCAGAGGTTTGGATTTTTAGGAAGTGCTGAACACCTACCCTCTACAAGCTTGGTCCCTTCAAAGTGTCCCAAATTGTCACCCAAAAGTTGAGGACCCCAAAATCACAGTCACTCTAGAAAATCATGACCCTTATTTTTAAAGGGTTTCGAAATTGCTGAAGGTTTAGTATGAATTTGCTAATTGTTTGGGGATATATTTATTCCCAATACCTGTAAAGTGACCTGTATCATAGGATATGAAATGAGAATTAACGTTTATACAGGGAGCCACGATTTTATCCTGCTCTAACAATAAATTAGTGAAATATCATGCTGTGCAATTTAGATAAAGGATTTAACAAATTAGAAAGATTGCCTCATACTGTGCAGTTTAGATAAAGGATTTACAGCTCAACAAATGCAATTAACTTATCCCCCCTCCCAATGTAGGGTTTTATAGAGCACAACTGATTCAACAGCAGGCAGACAGATAGCATAATCAAATGCAGATTCATTTATATGTAATTACTGGAATATTATTAGGCTAGCCAAAATCACTATATATATTTAGTGTTCTAAGGGGGTGAAAGAGATGTAATGCAATATCAATAAATAAGGGTAAATGGACATGAAATGAGATACACGTAGAGCATCATACTCACCTGAGGTAGTTTTTTAGTCCGCTTGTTATTGTTTTATTGTCCCAAACATCCATATCAATATCCATATCAGGAGGAGATTTAGGGGCTGGTAGAAAATTGAATTAGGACTGTATTATACTTTGACTAGCAGACTAGTTAGGAAAGCAACACAACACTTAAACAACATACAAAGATTATGTGTTAATTTCTTATGGTTATTTTATTACCCAGATTAACTAACACCTTGAACATACATTGAAATCCTTTAATTTTTGTCAAGTGTCAGAAAAATGGAATAGCATCTAGTACATAGACATCTCAACTATGTGCCCAACTTCAAAGAGTAAACTAAACCCAAGGTGATACAGGGGTTGCCAGTTGCTTTGGTTTTGATATAGAGCAATCTTCAAAAGAGAGGGAGGTTATATCCAGATTAGCAAAATAAGGGAAACCCCAGGACCACCAAAAAAGAAAAATGTTATAAACTATGAGTTATTAATGGATGATGGTTGTAATATATTGACCTAAAGTTGAGAGACACTTCTGGGTGTTTGGTATTCCATGCCTTGACAAACAGGTCCAATAAACTGAGCATTAAAATTAAATGAAGAAAGGGATTTATAGATGTATTTACATAATCCCAGCTGCAAAATATAAACAAATCCAATGGGTCTCATTTTTCTCAACTGTCTGCATGTGCTACCTTTGCTCCATGATTTGCATTGACTGCCCATTTGTTTCTGAATTGAATTTAAGATGTTGTTTTTGATTGGTAAAGACCTAAAGGTCTTGGGGTGTTCCGATGGGAGACACTTCCTCTATCCTCAGTCAGTAGTAGACACACTCCAAGGATTCCCCTTAAGTTAAGAGAGAGGGCTGGCAGCAGAGTGTTCTCAGATCTGGAGCCAGCTTTCCTGAATAGCCTGGGTTTGTTGACCACTGGAGCATGTTGCAATGTACATCCCTTTATACAGGCTGCTGTGGAATTAGTGTTTGATTAAATGTGGGAGGGGAGTTCTGTGTTTCATAGAGGATTGAGTCCTGTTGATCACTGGGAGGTAAAACTTTTTTTTCCCTTTTAATTTGTGTCGGGGTGTTGAGAGCTCTGGACAGATTTCCTGTTTCATTTTTTAATAAATTCAAATAAATAAACTAAATTAATTGTGAAAAATGCACATCTATCCATAGTCTGTGTATGCAATTTCAATGACTCTGCACAAACTGAGGCTATGTCTACACTACTACACGACCTACGCTACACAATTCCAGCTATGTGAATAACGTAGCTGGAGTCGATGTACCTTAGGTTGAGTTACTGCGGGGTCTACACCGCAGGAGGTTGTAGGGGTAGAAGTACAGGGGTTGACTGGAGAGCCATCTGCAGTCGATTTGGCAGGTCTTTACTAGTCCTGCTAAATCGACCGCTGGTGTATCAATCTCAGAGCGTCGATCCTGGCTGTAGTGTAGACCTGTCCTGAGTAACGGTGACAGTTACATACATAGCTAACTATTTGCATGCTTACTCACTTAATTTGCCACCTGTAACTGCAAGTGCAAACTAAACTTACTATTGTACACACATTTTTGAGCAGAGACAGTGAAGGAAATCATGTCCATAATGTCCTTAGTGGATATTAGAGTTTTTCATACAAAATCTTCCAAAACTTACAAAATATGGTATTCATCAGCTTTTGCACTTTGGAATTTACACCTCCTATTCTGTACAGCCCCAAGATTGTGATACCTATATGGAAAAAATACAGGATAATGAACAGAATCATGGCACCAAAAGTACAGCATGTTCATGTAAATGGACACATAGGTGAGACATTTGGGTGTAAATTTTCAAAATGGTTTATGAGGTTTAACCATCCATTAATTTATAGGAAGTTATGCAGCTAAATTCCTGTACACCACTTTGGACTATTTAGTGCTATTTTGGAAAATTACCACACATATTTTACTGACATTACACCATATTATAAACAAATCTTAGCTGCATGTTAATTAAATGAAACCCCACAAAAGGGCCCAACATTCTGTCTGACTGACGCACGGAAAGGTGCCATGATAGCAGACACTGGAATGATGTCTGAGAAGTGAAAAATAAGTCCCAGAAGCACTCTAGAGGCATGTCCTCACGTCCTAGCCCTGTTCTTGCTTACCAAGAAATGTAAACTTGTGTAACGCAAGCCACTTCAATCGAGTTACTCTGAATTTACACCAGTGCAAATGAGAACGGAATAATGTCCTCCATATTCAAATGTTGCTGACAATTACAGCAATTACTTTTGTACAAAATTTACTGGCGATACAAACAATTCTACTTAAAATATCTGCACAGTCTAGTGTTTTTCTTGTTTATCTGCAGTACTGCAGCTACTTTGTCAATGCTGAATGACAGGATTGTTTTAATTTGTAGAGCCCAAAACAAGATAAAGAGACAGCCTTAGGTCCCAATTATCCTCAAACGGTTGAGACAGGCATGGCCCAAATGCAAAGAATATTTTTTATAGTACAGTATGCGAAAATGCTACTGGATAATGTTCTATTTTAGGCCTTTATAGTATTATATTTTAACACTCAAATGATGGGACTTGACTTGACTTGACTTGATCTCCTTTTTTTCCTTAGCACCTTATACTATAGAGAGTTCTTAGGTGTAACCATGGCAAAGTTCTTTTCTGAGGATGTTTGAGAAAAAACAATTATAATTTGTCGCAATCTCAAAAGCCTAAACAGGAGGATGCTTCTTAAGTTCAGCCAATTTATTTAGAAAATCATTCCTAATACATATATTTAATTTTAATTTTGATGTTATTAAACTTTGTCTATTTACCATATCAAGTTTTACTATTTAAAAATGTTTGTATTATTGGTGCCTCTTTCAACATAATGTTCAAAATTCTGCTCTCAGTAAGAAGCACATGACCTTATTTGTTTCAGAAGGTTACGTAGGAATAACTGAGGACTGATTTATTATGAGTAGTAAAATATTATATCAGCAGTAGCTAGACTATTATTTTGTTGTTCTTCCCATATAGTGCATACATTTCCTACTCTTGTTATTAAACACAAACAATGGATAAACAATGGATGAAATGTATAACTGGTGTAAGGCAAATAAAGTTAAGGGAATAAGATAGGGATAAATTTGTCCCAATGTGTATTAAATACAACTGAGCATTAAATTGACTAATAACAGAAAAGTGTTACTTTTTTTAAAAAACAATAAGTTGCAATAATTTATACTTAAATGATAAATTAAAGACAGTCTTTATGGAAGATTTTGGCAACAGTGTTTCAGCTGTAAAAAGTACAAGTTGAGTGACACATAGATTCCAAACTGCACTTGGAAAATATTTTCTGTTTAAGCATTGTAAAGTAACCTATGTCAGAGAAAACCATATGCATACTATGTAATATATAGAGTGTAATGTAATACCTACCTCTTGTCTCCACAGCAACAATACATTTCCTCACAAAGTTAAAACCTGCTTCATTTAAGAACACTATAAATTGAAGAAAAATACATTATTTACTTTAATCTAGCTTTCTGGTTAGCTACATCTTCATGTTAGGATCAAATGTGAGCCCTAAACATTTGTCCATAAGAGCATAGCACCTAGAGGTAGTAACTTTTATTTATATTATTGTTTAATTACATCTTTATCCTAAAAGAATGCAATCAAACTTTCTGCTCATTAGTACATTCATGTGTGTTTGTTGTTATATTTTTAGTATGTATATTTCAAAACCAGAATTCTTTAACATCTGTTAGAAATAAAAGTGTGGTACCCTAGCCCCACCACTTGTATGGCCGAAAGCGTGTCTCTGTATAAAAGGATGCTGTCATAAATATAAAGGGAAGGGTAACAACCTTTATGTATGCAGTAACATAAATCCCTCCTGGCCAGAGGTACAGAATCACATACCGGTAAGGGGTTAATCAGTTCAATTAACCTTGTTGGCATCTGACCAGAAGGACCAATGGGGAAATAAGATACTTTCAAATGGGCGGGGGGGGGAGGAGATGGGGGAGAGAGGAGGTTTTTTGTTTGCGCTCTCTTTGTTGGTTCCCTCTCGGGACAAAGAGAGAGACCAAGCAGGTAACCCAGCTCCTAAAAAGATCCGGAACTGATACATCTAAAAATTACAGAAATTGTAAGTAAAAGCAAGGAAATGCATTAGATTATCTTTTGTTTTAGTTTGTGAATTTTCCCTATGCTAAGAGGGAGGTTTATGCCTGTTTTTGTAACTTTGAAGTTGAGCCTAGAGGGGAATCCTCTGTGTTTTAAATCTTTTTATTTACCCTGTAAAGTTATCTTCAATCCTGATTTTGCAGGTGTGATTCTTTTAATTTTTTTTTTTAATAAAATTCTTCTTTTAAGAACCTGATTGATTTTCAGTGTCCTAAAAATCAGGGATTGTGTTCACTTTGTTAACCTATCGGTTGGTATATTATTCTCAAGCCCCCCCCCCCCCCAGGAAAGGGGGTGAAGGAGCTTGGGGGGATATTTTGGGGGAGATAGGGCTCCAAGTGGCCCCTCCCTGAATGTTTGTTTAAATCACTTGGTGGTGGCAGAAATACCGTCCAAGGACAAGGAAAGGAATTTGTGCCTTGGGGAAGTTTTTAACTTAAGCTGTTGGAATATAAGCTTAGGGGGTGTCTTTCATGTGGGTCCCCACATCTGTACCCCAGAGTTCAGAGTGGGGAGGGAACCCTGACAGATGCACATTCTAAGAATACAGAAACAAAACAATAAGAGAATGAACCAAACACAGATGCCTACAGTTTCTACTAGACACCTTCCCCTCAGCTCAATACTCTGCTCTGCAGAGACTTACACAGGTGCTTCACTTCACACACTGAGTAGTCCCATCAATGTCAACTGATTTAAATGAGACTACTAACCATGCATAAAAATGAGCATGTGTGTAAGGCTTTCCAGGACCAGGGCCTGAGACATGAATAATATATTTTATCGTTGTCTTATTATATCTTAATAAATTATATACTATGGCTGGGATTTTCAAAGGCACAGAAGGGAGTTAGGTGCCCATCTCCCATTGATTTCCAGGGGTTCAGGTGCCTAATTTCCTTAGGCTTCACTGAAAATCCCAGGCTTCAATGTTAATTTCCTGATTTGGATTCCCAGAAAAGGTAGACTGAACAAACAAGCATTATGATAAAATTACTGATGGGCAGGCTCTGGAGGAACTTGCTGGGGTTTACACATTAGCACTTATCACCAACCACTTGAAAGAAAATAACTCTTGGAGAAGCTGAAATGTCAGGTTAAACTGAACACAACATCCTTGCACGTGTGAAGGTAAAACCAAAAAAGATAATCACTCACAAAATGAAAATTGCCAGAATGTAGGAAAACAGCATTTGCTAAAGACTTTAAGTAGTGTTGTTAATACAAGCGAGTATTTTTCAGATTGGTCTTCAATGCTCATTTTTCTAACTACTTAAATTAAAAACATTTCAAAGCAATATTTTCATCATAATTAAAATAATTACCACCAAGTAAAAGACCATATATGTTGGTTTCCAATTAGCCAAATGTGTGTGTGTGTGGGGGGGGAAGAGGGTTGTGGGGGTACGTATGTATGGGATAGCTGAAAAGGTAGTACCTCTGCATAGACAGCCACATCCACAAGGTGTGGTTTGCTTGCAGTTGGTCCTGGTGATTACTCAGCTCACTAGTGGTTCCAAATTGATGTGAGTGTACTGCAGCACCACACCCTAGGACTTTGCCTTGGCTGGCATGCTAAACCTAGTGAGGATAGCTAGCAGTGATAAACACCGGAGAAAGGGCACGTCTGGCTGTCCAAGTCCACAAAGTCTCCTAAGGCAAAGCCAGCAAAAACAACGTTCAAAGCATAAAATGTGGAAATGGTGCTGGAGCAAGCTAGTGGGTAGCTTAAAGCAGTGTTGCAGACTGATTACAATACACTGATCAACCATAAAACCAGGAGTCATGGTAGAACACTTGGCAAATACTGGACCATAGAATCTGAATGAGGAATGTTAAGAGAAAGAAAATATGCTGGATCGGTTGTCATCGGGACAAACATGGGTCAGCTTCAATCGACAGTATGCAAAGTATGTATAACAACACGCAAATGAGGGAATTACATGATGAAGTTGAAGGATATTTATTGGAACATGGGATGTAAGAACATTATACCAGGCTGGAGCACTTGTGGTAATGATCCATGAGTTTGAAAATGATCCATGAGTGGCAAATCATTGGGCTATGTTAAACGAGATATTGAGACGGTAAAGGAGAATTCTACCATGATGAACATAGAATATTGACATTGGTAAGAGACGATGGTGGATGATGGTGTTGCATTGGTGCTAAAGCCAAAGGTAAAATAGATTCTCATGGCATTTAACCCAATATCTCCTTGTATGTTGAAGGTGAGATTCAAAATCAAATCCGATGCGGTTACAGTAGTAAGGGATATGTGCCGACTTCAGCAGCATCCAAGGAAGAAATTGAATATTTTTATATTCATCTGCAGAAAACAATCCAAAAAGTTTCAAGACAAGACATATTATTGGTGATGGGAGATTTGAATGCAAAAGTAGAATTGGACTGGAATTCCTGGGCTGCAGCCATAGGCAGAGTTGGATTAGATGAAGAAAATGTAAGAGGAGAAAGGCTACTAAATTTCTGCTTATGCAACAACCTGGTGGTAACAAACACACTATTTCAACAAAGAAAGCTGCAGAAGAAGTGGTAGCAGTGGAGGCAAAAGACATATCTGGCTTCAAGACTAAGCTTGATAAGTTTATGGAGGGAATGGTATGATGGGATAGCCTAATCTTTGACTATTAGTAGTAAATATGCACAATGGCCTGCGATGGGGTGGGATCTGAGTTACTACAGAAAATTCTTTCTTGGGTGTCTGGCTGGTGAGTCTTGCCCACATTCTCACGGTTTAGCTGATCGCCATATTTGGGGTCGGGAAGGAATTTTCCTCCAGGGCAGATTGGCAGAGGCTCTGGGGGTATTTCGCCTTCCTCTGCAGCGTGGGGCATGGGTCACTTGCTGGAGGATTCTCTGCACCTTGAAGTCTTTAAACCACAAGTTGAGGACTTCAAGAGCTCAGACATAGGTCAGGGGTTTGTTACAGGAGTGGGTGGGTGAGATTCTGTGGCCTGCGTTGTGCAGGAGGTCAGACTAGAAGATCATAATGGTCCCTTCTGACCTTAAAGTCTATGAGTCTATGACATGTCACCTGATGGACAAATGAAGAACATGACAGACTTTGTACTTGTGAATCAAGTCTGTTGTCATGAAGATCATTTGCAGCTGATATCGGATCAGATAATAAATTTGGGCTGGCATCAATAGGTTGAGGCTGAGAGCAACTGAAAAAGTGCCAAGAACTAAGATCTATGCCATGGACAAACTGAAAAAGCCAGATATCAGGAAAAAATACAAAGTAGTAATGTGGAAAAATATCACATCTTCAGTGAAAGAAGAAACGCACAACGAAGAGACATGTGTGACATACTGTACCCAGGTTACCCCCTGTACCCACATATCCCCCACTCGTATATGGTTATGACATTTTGTACAAAGTATGCCTTGCTAGGTGAAAAGTTATGATTTGTTGAAATTCATTATCCTGTTTAAATGTGTGTATCTTCATTGTATATGAAGTTATGAGATTTTGCTATATGTTTACCTGTTATGAGTCTGGGAAATGCTCACATACTAGCTCCTCAGAGAAAACAAAGGAGTGACCAACACCCAGCCAGGTGTTAAGCGACCATCACCGGCTATTCTCCAGTAGGGGAGTTGAAAACAAAGACAGTTGCTCGAGCATGTACACTATGGGGGCGGCCTAACCCCATGACACTGCAAAGATTTTCCCTGAACCTGGGAAAAAGTATAAATGAGGCACAGTGACATTACCAAGGTGCCTGCAGCTTCCCCCCATCTCTACACAAGGAAGCAAGATAGTCTAGAACAGAATGATCTCCACTGAGACTTTGGGAGGGGCCGGACCTAACTGGAAGGCGTTCCAGTTAGCAGAAACTGCTGTGAAGTTTTGGGTGGGAGAAATCCTCTTGCTTTTAGAATTATTAGCCTGGTAAAATATAGGATTTAGATAGCGGTTTTGCTCTTTTATTTCCTTTTGTAATCAACTCTAATCTTCTATGCCAATGTCACTTAATCACTTAAAATCTATCTTTCTCTAGTTAATAAACTTGGCTTGATGTTTAATCTAAGACAGTGAGTTTGTCAAAAGTGCTTGGGGGATCCACTCAGATTACAGAGGCTGGGGCATGTCCACTACCCTTCAAAGAAAAGGAGGGAGGGATAGCTCAGTGGTTTGAGCATTGGCCTACTAAATCCAGGGTTGTGAGTTCAATCCTTGAGGGGGCCATTTAGGGATCTGGGGCAAAAATCTGTCTGGGGATTGGTCCTGCTGTAAGCAGGGGGTTAGACTAGATGACCTCCTGAGGTCCCTTCCAACCCTGATATTCTATGGTTCTAAAACAACAAGGAGTCCAGCGGCACCTTAAAGACTAACAGATTTATTTGGGCATAAACTTCCATGGGTAAAAAACCTCACTTCTTCAGATGCAATGAAATCTTACTAAATCTGCATCTGACGAAGTGGGTATTCACCCACGAAAGCTTATGCTCCAATACGTCTGTTAGTCTATAAGGTGCCACAGGACTCTTTGTTGCTTTTTACAAATCCAGACTAACACGGCTACCCCTCTGATACTTACTAAATCTTTTAGTCTTTAAGGTGCCACCAGACTCCTTGTTGTTTTTGTGGATACAGACTAACATGGCTACTCCCTGATACTTGATAACCTTCGAAGAGTGGCAAACTAATTAATGAGCTTGCATTGCTCAAGAAAGTCTTGAGCAGTGTAAGACATGCACTCTGGAGTGTAAAGCTGGGGCTGGGGGAATTTGCTGGTGTCTCCCTATATACAATTCATGAGTGGCTTGGGAAAGTCTTTATGGAACTAAGATGGGTGTACCTTTGCACACCGATGGCTGAATTAACAGAGCCTGGAGGGGCTTGCTGTTCACTAACATGGCAGTGTAGGAGACACTGTGGGCAGGAGAGGAAAAGGGGGCATAGGAGCTCCACAGTCCAGATTGCACCCGGGGCATGGAACAACGTGGAACAATATAAAAATGGGATTACAATCGTTGGGCTACAAGGACAAAACAAAGAGACCCAGGTGGATAATGGATGAAGTGCTGCAGCTGTGAGACAAACGTAGGAAGCTGAAGGAGAATAAAAAATAGGACTAAAGTCTTAGAGCTAAATACAATAGGCTGCTTAGACAGATAACACAGAAAGCAAAGAGAGACAGAAACAACTGGATAAGCCAACAATATAAGGAAATAGAAGAATATGTGAAGAGAAATGTGGCACAGGAGTGAAATTGTAAGATGAGAGAACTGAGTGGGACATATGAGTTGAAGATGTTGGCAGTGAAAGACAAACATGAAGAGACTGAGCATGAACAAGCAAAGAATACGTGATGGAAATAATATTTTGAAGAGCTGTACAATGTGCGGAACACAGTAGATGAAATGGTTCTAGAAAAGCTTCCCAGCACAAATGAGGGAGAAAAGATGCTGGAATTCTTAGACAAAGAAGTAAATATCTCGATATCTCGGAAGTTTGGAAAAGAAAAAGGCAACAGGTAATGACAATGTAACTGCAGAGATACTGCAAGCAAGGGAGGAACACTTGGTAAATGTGATGCACAAACTATTCAACAAGATTTACAAACAAAAGCAAGTGTTGAGCAAATGGGGGAAAGCGAAAATAGTACCGATCTATAAAAAAAAGGAGATTGGAGTGAGAATAAGAAACTACAGAGGGATCAGCTTATTGAGCGTGCCAGGAAAAGCATTCACCAAAATGGTGCAGAGGAGAATGAAGAGGTATGTGGAAGTGGCTCTTGCAGAACTGGCTGGATTTAGACCAAGATGAAGTATAATAGATCAGTTATGTGTGATAAGACAGATATCAGAGAAGGAGAAGTATACAAAACACAACTGAACCTGTTACAACGACTTTATAAACCTCAAACGCGCTTTTGAGAGCAGTTAGCAGAAAGTTATGAGACTGTATGGCATCCCCGAAAAACCAATCAAGCAGATAGAAAACATCTACAGCAAGTCAATGAGTGCCGTGAGAGTAAACAAGATGCTGACAGAATGACTCAGGATGACTGTAGGAGTAAGACAAGGAGGCATGCTATTGCCCGATTTTTTCAGCTTGGTACTGGAAGCAGCAATGGCTACATGACTGAGAGATGAAACAGGAGGAGTCAGGTTACGTTACAGGATGTGTAGGATAAACCCAGTGAAAAATGACACACAAAAGATTTAAATATGAATGAAACTGTGAAGCTGGTACAAGATAGAAAGTGTTGGACAGACTTCATTTGGCTCCATTGTTATTGCTGAGCTGACGGATGGGAAACAAAGAATAATAATAATGTGTGTGTGTGAGACACCTGCACAGACGCACATAAAATATAATGGAGTAACTGCATGATAACGTAATGTTTGCCCATCACCACAATAAAAGCCATAATATTCCTAAGTCTGAAGACCATAAACAAGTTATCAGGTGCAGGGATATTATTATGTCAGGGTGCAGGTGGTCCATTTGATTTTATATATATATTTATATATAGAACTATGAATATATCTATAGCTATCTAGAGTGACATTATAGATAGTGTACTGTTTTGGAACCACATTAGCCAGAAGCATGATTTATTTTATTTTCTCCCAATTTATATTTGATTATAATACAAACATTGAAGACTTTTTCACACCTGATGTAACTGACCCTTGAGACAGGATGTACTTTCTTGCAAGTTGACAGAAAAGAGTAATTCTTGACAATACATGAAAATATAATAATGTAATTTGCAACCCTAATACGCCTGAAAACAAGGACATTATACTGTAGAAATCCAGGTATATTTAATAATTTTACATAATTAAAAAAAACTTACTTTCTTCCTTCTTGCTAATAATGGCTGGTAAAGTGTAAATCTGAAAAAAGAAAACGTTGCAATATGAACATTTGTGACTTCCAGGTCAGTTAAGGGCTCTCAAGCCACTGCAAACACATTTTGCATTAGCATGTTGCATTGGGCAAGCCTTGCTCCTGCCATTTATTTACTATGAAGTCATTGTAAATGAGCTTAACAAGCATAAAACTTAAAATGCTGCCTCTAGCAGGCAGTCTCTCTTATGAGAGTTCAGTTCAACTACACGTTTGGGTAGCTGAAAGATGATAGTGAGTAGCCAGAATTGTAGAGTCTGTATTGTTATATGTGAACCCTGTTTACTCTCAGCCCTAACTCCTTGGTTGGACCTGTTCAGTGAGACCAGGTGCCATCTAGCTCATAATTCTGAACAATCATCTTCTCCCTTTTGGGTCTACATGTGGAGCTGTGCCATTGTAGTCAATGGAAATCTCAAGTGTAGATTAATGGCAGGATGAAATCTCAGCTTCTCTCATCAACACCTACCAGCCTCTATCACAGTTTCTTTTCTCTGCAGCACCTTTAAAGGTGGCGATACTGCTGCTCAAAGGCATCACCCTTAAGATGACTTGCTCTCAAATTCACAAATTGTGCCTATGCACATGTATCCTGTATGCCAACGAAATATGATGTTGGCCGGACTGTCAATATCCCAACTAACATAAGTGACTCAATGTTTGACTACAGATTGAGATATACTATTTTTTCTGCTTCATTATTAATTTAATGATTATCTTATCATAGAATCATAGAATATCAGGGTTGGAAGGGACCTCAAGAGGTCATCTAGTCCAACCCCCTGCTCAAAGCAGGACCAATTCCCAACTAAATCATCCCAGCCAGGGATGATTCGTGTTTATTTTACCATTGCTTTGTCCATAAAGCTTGCGAAATACCGTTTGCACGTATGCATTGTGTCGTAAAAGTTTATGTAAACTGTTTCTCCATGTTTGAGATATTTTGAGATGTACAGCAATTTGTTCTTTTCACTTCTGTATACAAGTAATCTGAACTCATAATAAATAATATAACAAATTTCCTTACTGGTTCCTTTCCATCCATAGCTTCCAGCCAAAGTTTCCTGTTGGACTCTGAAAAAGCCTGAAGTGTTATGATCCCATGTCTATTAAAACAAAATATATATTATTTAAACATATTAATTATTTTTCCAACCAATGATATTTAAGATCATTTTAACAGGAAATGTGATCTAGTCTAATCATAATTATTTACTTTTTTGTAGTGCTAGGCATGTATCTTGACCTTTCTGTGTCTGTTTTTTATCTCTGTGAAACTGGGATAATAACATTTACTCTGTCACAAGGGAATATAAGACTTCATTAGTTAACATTTGAGAATCTCAGATGAAATGTGGTATCAAAGTAACTATGAATTGTTTATACAGCTGATAAAAATAAAATTAATTCAGTAGACGTGCCTACTTAACTAATGGAAGAGGCTCTGTAGAAATGGGGTTTATTAGTGATACAAAAGCACACACACCTACTAAAAACTCAGTGTAAATATTACTTATATATATAGTCAGCTGTATAAACAATTCATAGTTCCGGATCTAAGTCTGCATCAGTGAGCTACTTTAAAAGTGATGACAGTCCAAAACCTGGCAAACATGGAGCGTCAAAGAAAAGCCCCTTGAAGAAGCTTTGCTCTCACCTGTCTAGGACCTATCTATTCAAAACTTTTCACACCTTGTTTGAACCCACAGTCTTCCTTTGCCAAATACAGAAATAAAAGATACTAAATTTATACTAATTATCCCCCCGAGTACTCTCACCACTTAATTATAACATTTTTCATGAAGGACACTGGAGAATATGAAAATACAGATATACACAAACAGAGCTCCAAGATACTGAAGAAGAAATGAAAAGCCTGCCTCATTAAATCAATATTGGATGTTATTCTACAAATTATGTGCTATCTCAACCATGAGATATCAAGAAGCTACTGGGTGAAATTCTACAGCCTGCATTATGCAAGAGGTCAGATTAGATGATCACAATGTTCTCTAATAGCTTTAAAATCTGTGCATCTCTACACATCATATATATTTAAAATGTAAAGCGTAAGTTATAGAGTCATACCAAAACAGGGATGGGGAGGGGGATACATATAAAGAGTCCTCCCATTGAAATTAGGAAGGTCATGTCATTTGATAAACATTTTCTACCCACACACAATGTTTCATAAAACATTTTAAACTAGGGGAGGAGGGATAGCTCAGTGGTTTGAGCACTGGCCTGCTAAACCCAGGGTTGTGAGTTTATTCCTTGAGAGGGCCATTTAGGGATCTGGGGGAAAGGAAAGGACAGGACAGGACAGTGTGGCCTGAAAGGCCTCTGGTGTAGATGGCACACCAGGTACCAAGTGCCTCTGCTGCTTTCCAGGGTGGCAGGTGGGTCTTGAAGTAGGCTCAACAGGAGTCAGAGCCTGGCCACCATCTGGAGGGGAAGAGCTGCCCCATGCAGGTCTTTGCTCTCCACCAGCTCTCTCTTTCCCTTCATGGGACATAGGAGAACACCCACTCCCAGCCTTTCTTTGCTTTTTTGCCAGTACTGGGATGGGGATCAGTGGCACACTCCGCACCGAGGCCATGGTGCTTGGAGCAGAGTCTGATCTTGTCGGCTCCGAGGCCAGTGCAAGGGCCGACTCCATAAGGAGTGCTCTAAGATCAATGTCCCACTCCTTCTCGGTCTGAAGCCTGAAGCTCTTGCAAATGCAACACTTGTCGCTCATGTGGTTTCCCCTAAACATGTCAGGCAGCTTCTATGGGGATCACTGACTAGCACAGGTTTTTTGCAACAGTCACAAGCTCTGAAGCCTGTTGATGAGGGCATGCCCCATCCCTAGGTTGAGTCCCATACAGGACTAACTATTCCTAGCTTAACACTAAGGGAACTATTAACTATACAACATTAAACAACTATGTACAACAAATTCACTACTAGATACAGTAGAGATAGGAAAGCTTGTCAAAGTAAGGAGACATTCCAGCACTGTCACTGGCGGTAAGAAGGAACTGAGGGAGGGGGGAGCTAGTGACACCCTTTATACTGGCTGCAATACAATAAAGATAAGTGACTATTAGAAGAACTTCTTATAAAAATCTGAGCTGAAAACTGTTGAGAACAACATCTAAGTAAAATTTAAATTGTTTCACTTAGATGTGTTGCTTCCTGATAACAGTTTGAAAGTTTTCATATCAGATTGTTTCTTTCATTTAGTGCAGTGGTTTTCAATCTTTTTTTCTAAAAAATTTCAAATGGAGGTGTGGTCCTCTTTGGGAATCTTAGATAGTCTGCGGACTCCAGGGGTCCCAGGACCATAGGTTGAAAACCACTGATTTAGTGAGATGTTCACTTCAGTCTATGTTGTCTTATCAGCATTTGCAACATCTCCATATAGATTCTGAGTACTAGGTGGGAGAGGATTGAGTCTCATGAGATGAGAGGTTTGGAGGTGGAGGAGGAGTTGCTCATAACAGTCCTTTCCAGGTCTTTAAAGACTTTGTTGTACCTTATAAACCGTATGAGTAAATAATTATTCAATGAAGGCCAAACCCTGCAAGTTACCAAATGTCCTTCCTCACTGACTGAAATTGATCACTGTTGAGGATACTCAACAATTCTCAGGATTACATCTAAAAAAAATTTAAGCCTAATCTTTAAAATCAGTACACAGTAATTTAAAGTCAGTCATTAGCAACTTTGTATTCTTCCCAATTCCCCTATGTTTTAATAGTGTATAAATTAAAAAACATGAAACAGCAAGAAAGTATTTTATCATTACAAATATATTTGACATCAGAGTCTCCCTTTCACAGAGGAAGCCAAGTTTCAATTTATGTCATCCAGAAGTGATTAGTGTCACTCTTTGCATATGGGCTGCCTGCCAACTGATCATTTCTCATTATCATGTTGACCACAACTTTTTATCTCCTCTGCTGACTCACACAAACCTCCACTGGTTTCCTGTTAAATATGAAACCAATTTCAAAATTTGACTTCTTGTCAGTCTCTGAAAGGTCTGTCTCCTCTCATAATAGTATTTTAAGCAACCTTGTGAACTAGTGTGCTTTCAACTTTTTTGTCTAAATTTTCAGAAAACATTTAGATGTAAGCTCTCTGTATTTTAACTTGTTAAAGCAAATCAAAATAAACAAGACTTGTTAAACCAAGTTAAAATTAACAAGTTTTATTCCAAAAGTGTATAACTCCATTTAAAGAGAACTGAAAGAATTTAAGATCTTTCTAAAAATTTAAGGACAAAACTCACTTTTTAACTATCTTACAGTAGCACTACCATCATTTTGTCTGATAAAGTTAGTTCTGATATATTTTGATCTTTGAATTTGAACCACTCTCTGATTTTGGTTTTCCAAAACAAAATTGTAACCTATGTTTTTTTTTTTTTTAACAAAACCAGAACAAAAACAACCCAGGTTTGCCCATATTTCTGAAATTAAAGGGCACCAAATATCAAGTAATTTATCCCAACATATCCCCACCCCAAATTTGTAGTGCTAATGACTGTATTTTACCTATTAATATAGGACTTCAGATTACAGGTATATTTATCTTTCACAAGCACAAAATTCACCACAAAATTAACATGTTATAAAATAGTGACACTTCTGTATAATACATTACTATTATTATTGTAGTCACAAAATATTTCTCAGAGAAAGATCAGGAAAGATTTATATAAATAGTGTGAATTTACTAATTCTGTTTATTTCACCATGATTCAAGGCAGATGTTTATCCACCTTTTCTCTCATGTCCACTAGCCTGAAATTCTTAAAAAAGAACAAATATTACTTTCACTGAGTATTTGCATTCCCCCCCAAATGCTGTAAAACTGTTCCTATTCATTTCATACAATTAAATATTTCCAGTAGTACCTGGAGAAACACTTGTACAGCTATTTCAGCATATGGGAAAAAATAAACTTTCTTAATTTTAACTTTAATAGGTAGAAATATATTTAACTTCCACATAATTCATGTATAACTAGAAATTGTGGAACAACCAATTTGAGAGAAACATGGAGTGTATGTGTGAGAGAGAGCGCACATTTTTTTAGATATTTATCACATGGGCCAAAATTCTAAAATTAGCCTCCTTAATAGAATCATAGAACTCAAGGTAGGACTAAGTATTAGCTATACCATCCCTGACAGGTGTTTGTCCAACCTGCTCTTAAAAATCCCCAATGAGGGAGATTCCACAACCTCCCTAGGCAATTTATTCCAGTACTTGAAAACTGTTATGTCCCCCTCAGTCTTCTCTTCTCCAGACTAAACAGACCCATTTTTTCCCAATCTTCCCTCATAAGTCATGTTTTCTAGACCTTTAATCATTTTTGTTGCTCTTCTCTGGACTTTCTCCAATTTGTCCATATCTTTCCTCAAATGTGGCGCCCAGAACTGGACACAATACTCCAGTTGAGGCCTAATCAGCGCGGAGTAGACGGAAGAATTACTTCTCGTATCTTGCTTACAATACTCCTGCTAATACATCCCAGAATGATGTTTGCTTTTTTTTGCAACAGTATTACATTGTTGAATCATATTTAGCTTGTGATCCACTATGACCCCCAGACACCTTTCCGCAGTATTCCTTCCTAGGCAGTCATTTCCCATTTTGTATGTGTGCAACTGATTGTTCCTTCCTAAATGGAGTATTGCACTATAAGTTTATTAATTGAACTATAAGTTTTCCAAAAAACAGATATGGTTAATTGTGCATGGATAATACACACATGTAGTGTTATTTGTTTTGTGGTCAGAAAAATAGGTTTTGAGCAATTAGGAGCACACATTTGAAAGTTTGGCCTTATATGCGCATAGTTCTTATGTAAATATATTTACATACACTTTATTAAATAATTAATAATGTTCTTTAAAAAAAGAACCTCAAACCTTTCAGATACTTCAATATCAAAACAGAAACGTTTGTCAATTGAATCAGTCTTTCTCCGGATGCAGGATTTTAGCTTGAATATTTCTGGTGAGCTTGTGACAAGGCCATTCTGTAAGACATACAAAAAAAGAAAATCAGCACGCAGAGATTACATTGCGAACAGTGGGCTACAGAGCGAACAGGGGCGTCTAACAGGGAGTTTAGAGCGGGAGTTCGGAAGGGGAACAGGAAGGGGGCAAGGTACATTTGCCATTCTTTAAAACCTTTAAACTAAACTATAATAAAAACTTCTTGATTTAAACAAAACCCCTCTCATTAACATAGGTAGCTGTAGGAGAGAATGCAGGCAGAAGCCCAGCAGCAGAGTGGGGGCTATCCTGTTTATTGCGCTCAGTGTAGCATGTATGATTACCTGCCCTGTGGGCGGGTGGCGTATGTGTGCATTCAGTGCAAGGAGCTCCTGGCCCTCAGAGACCGCATATGGGGTTTGGAGGCCAGGGTGGCAGAACTGGAGGAGCTAAGGAAGGCAGAGAGGTATGTTGATGAGGCTTTCCGGGACACTGTAGAATTGTCCCACCTCCGGTCAGACAGACCCTGCACAGTTAAGAGGATGAAAGGCTCAGGGAAGGAGAGCAATCAACAGGACCAGAGCGAACCTTCCCATAGTTGGAACCCTCCTTCCAGATGATGTTGGGGTATCCTCTCGCACTGAGGTTACCTCTCCGGGGGAGGGAACTCCAGTCATTAGTTAAAGGCAGGTGTTAGTAATGGGAGATTCGATCATTAGAAACATAGATAGCTGGGTTTGTGATGACCGGGAGAACCATATGGTGACTTCCCTGCCTGGTGCAAAGGTTGCAGATCTCTCGAGGCATCTAGATAGACTTATGTGTAGTGCTGGGGAGGAGCCGGTGGTCGTGGTACATGTAGGTACCAATGACCTAGGGAAGGGTAGGAGAGACATCCTGGAGGCCAAATTTAGGCTGCTAGGGAAGAGGCTGAAATCCAGGACCTCTATGGTGGCATTCTCAGAAATGTTCCCAGTTCCACACGCTGGGCCAGGTAGGCAGGCGGAGCTTCAGAGTCTCAATGCGTGGATGAAACGATGGTGTAGAGAGGAGGGGTTTAGATTTATTAGGAACTGAGGAAACTTTTGGGATGGGGGAGCCTATACAGGAGAGATGGGCTCCACCTAAACCAAAGTGGATCCAGACTGCTGGCACTTAACATTAAAAAGGGTGCAGAGCAGTTTTTAAACTAAGAGATGGGGGAAAGCCGATTGCTGCAGAGGAGCATGTGGATCGGACAGAGACTTCTCTTAGGGGAGAGTCTAATGATAGAGAATCTCCAGGTTATAGTCAGGAGAAGAGGATAGAAGAGGATAAAGTAGGGGCCAGATAAGAGAAGAAACATTCACATAAAAAAGAATCTGACACATCAGAAAAAGGCAGACAAATAAACGGTGACAAGTTTTTAAAGTGCTTGTACACAAATGCTAGAAGTCTAAATAATAAGATGGGAGAGCTAGAGTGCCTCGTGTTTAAGGAGGATATTGATATAATAGGCATCACAGAAACCTAGTGGAGTGAGGACAATCAATGGGACACAATCATTCCAGGGTACAAAATATATCGGAAGGACAGAACAGGTCGTGCGGGGTGGGGAGGGGAAGGAGTGGCACTATATGTGAAAGAAAATGTAGACTCAAATGAAGTAAAAATCTTAAATGAATCCACATGTTCCATAGACTCTCTATGGATAGTAATTTCATGCTCTAATAAGAATATAACAGTAGGGATCTATTATCGACCACCTGACCAGGACAGTGATAGGGACGATGAAATGCTAAGGGAGATTAGAGAGGCTATCAAAATAAAGAACTCAATAATAGTGGGGGATTTCAGTTATCCCCATATTGACTGGGTACATGTCACCTCAGGACGAAATGCAGAGACAAAATTTCTTGATACTTTAAATGACTGCTTCTTGGAGCAGCTGGTACGGGAACTCATAAGGGGAGAGGAACTCTCGATTTAGTCCTGAGTGGAGCACAGGAGTTGGTCCAAGAGGTAACTATAACAGGACCGCTTGGAAATAGTGATCATAATATAATAACATTTAACATTCCTGTGGTGGGAAGAACACTTCAGCAGCCCAACACTGTGGCATTTCATTTCAGAAAGGGGAACTATGCAAAAATGAGGGGGTTAGTTAAACAGAAATTAAAAAGTACAGTGACTAGAGTGAAATCCCTGCAAGCTGCATGGACGCTTTTCAAAGACACCAGAATAGAGGCCCAACTTAAATGTATACCCCAAATTAAAAAAAAAACACAGTAAAAGAACTAAAAAAGAGCCACCATGGCTTAACAACCATGTAAAAGAAGCAGTGAGAGATAAAAAGGCATCTTTTAAAAAGTGGAAGTCAAATTCTAGTGAGGTAAATAGTAAGGAGCATAAACACTGCCAAATTAAGTGTAAAAATGTAATAAGAAAAGCCAAAAAGAAGTTTGAAGAACAGCTAGCCAAAAACTCAAAAGGTAATAACAAAATGTTTTTTAAGTACATCAGAAGCAGGAAGGCTGCTAAACAACCAGAGGGGCCCCTGGACGATCGAGATACAAAAGGAGCACTTAAAGATGATAAAGTCATTGCGGAGAAACTAAATGAATTCTTTGCTTCAGTCTTCACAGCTGAGGATGTTAGGGGGATTCCCAAACCTGAGCCGTCCTTTGTAGGTGACAAATCTGAGGAATTGTCACAGATTGAAGTGTCACTAGAGGAGGTTTTGGAATTAACTGATAAACTTAACAGTAACAAGTCATCGGGACCAGATGGCATTCACCCAAGAATTCTGAAAGAACTCAAATGTGAAATTGCAGAACTATTAACTATGGTTTGTAACCTGTCCTTTAAATCAGCTTCTGTACCCAATGACTGGAAGATAGCTAATATTTAAAAAGGTCTCTAGAGGTGATCCCGACAATTACAGATCCGTATATCTAATGTCAGTACCGGGCAAATTAGTTGAAACAATAGTAAAGAATAAAATTGTCAGACACATAGAAGAACACAAATTGTTGGGCAAAAATCAACATGGTTTCTGTCTTACTAATCTATTAGAGTTCTTTGAAGGGGTCAACAAACCTGTGGACAAGGGGGATCCAGTGGACATAGTGTACTTAGATTTCCAGAAAGCCTTTGACAAGGTCCCTCACCAAAGACTCTTATGTAAATTAAGTTGTCATGGGATAAGAGGGAAGATCCTTTCATGGACTGAGAACTGGTTAAAAGACAGGGAACAAAGGGTAGGAATAAATGGTAAATTCTCAGAACGGAGAGGGGTAATGAGTGGTGTTCCCCAAGGGTCAGTCCTAGGACCAATCCTATTCAATTTATTCATAAATGATCTGGAGAAAGGGGTAAAAAGTGAGGTGGCAAAGTTTGCAGATGATACTAAACTGCTCAAGATAGTTAAGACCAAAGCAGACTGTGAAGAACTTCAAAAAGATCTCACAAAACTAAGTGTTTGGGCAACAAAATGGCAAATGAAATTTAATGTGGATAAATGTAAAGTAATGTACATTGGAAAAAATAACCCCAACTATACATACAATATGATGGGGGCTAATTTAGCTACAACTAATCAGGAAAGAGATCTTGGAGTCATCGTGGATAGTTCTCTGAAGACGTCCACGCAGTGTGCAGCGGCAGTGAAAAAAGCAAACAGGATGTTAGGAATCATTAAAAAAGGGATAGAGAATAAGACGGAGAATATCTTATTGCCCTTATATAAATCCATAGTATGCCCACTTCTTGAATACTGTGTACAGATGTGGTCTCCTCATCTCAAAAAAGATATACTGGCATTAGAAAAGGTTCAGAGAAGGGCAACTAAAATGATTAGGGGTTTGGAACGGGTCCCATATGAGGAGAGATTAAAGAGGCTAGGACTTTTCAGCTTGGAAAAGAGGAGACTAAGGGGGGGATATGTTAGAGGTATATAAAATCATGAGTGGTGTGGCAAAAGTGAATAAGGAAAAGTTATTTATTTGTTCCCATAATATAAGAAATAGGGGCCACCAAATGAAATTAATGGGCAGCAGGTTTAAAACAAATAAAAGGAAGTCATTCTTCACACAGTGCACAGTCAACTTATGGAACTCCTTGCCTGAGGAGGTTGTGAAGGCTAGGACTATAACAGGGTTTAAAAGAGAACTAGATACATTCATGGAGGTTAAGTCCATTAATGGCTATTAGCCAGGATGGGTAAGGAATGGCATCCCTAGCCTCTGTTTGTCAGAGGGTGGAGATGGATGGATGGCAGGACAGAGGTCACTTGATCATTACCTGTTAGGTTCACTCCCTCTGGAGGGAGCACCTGACATTGGCCACTATTGGTAGACAGGATACTGGGCTGGATGGACCTTTGGTCTGACCCAGTACGGCCGTTCTTATGTGACTGATATCATAGAATAGAATATCAGGGTTGGAAGGGTCCTCGGGAGGTCATCTAGTCCAACCCCCAGCTCAAAGCAGGACCAATCCCCAGACAGATTTTTGCCCCAAATTACCCCCTCAAGGATTGAACTCACAACCCTGAGTTTATCAGGCCAATGCTCAAACCACTGAGCTAGTCCTCCCCCATTAAGGTCCTCTGAATATTTACACACAAGCGTAAACCCGTCTTACTCTGCTTAAATTTAAGCATGTGTATAATTGCTTGCAGGGCTTAAAATTATACAAGCATATTATACAATCATTTTTATCTCTGTCATATATATATATTGTAAGAGACAACATTACTTAATATACTTTCTCACATAATTGTTTACCATTCTTCAGACAGTTCAATATAATATATTTAATAAAATGTCTAATTATGAAAGTTTGCTTTGAAAACTCTCTCTAAGTAAAACTATTGGTATTTATCAAGTCTGAAAATGGCCCAGTATCTACATACACCTCTACCCCGATATAACCTGACCAGATAAAACATGAATTTGGATATAACACGGTAAAGCAGTGCGCCGGGGGGGGGCTGCGCACTCCGGTGGATCAAAGCAAGTTCAATATAACACGGTTTCACCTATAACGCGGTAAGATTTTTTGGCTCCCGAGGACAGCATTATATCGAGGTAGAGGTGTATTTATATCTGATATGATTAAATGTCAATCAACTTTTAAGCAATAAAAATGAGGATGTCTAACTCATATTTCTGTGCTAAGTATTGTAGTTTTCTTACATGTTCGGAGATACCACAGAAATTGTATTGTATTTAGCATGTATGGTATTTAGCATGTAAATGAGTTATGGAAAAAGTAGATATTTTCATTTTAAATACTTAATATGACCTTTATTTTTTTCATAAGTAAAATCATTTGTTAATCATTTTGTTGATCCATGACAGAGGGCATATTGTTTACTCTAACTTGCCTAATATATTATTTTTTCCTCATAAGTACATTGAGTAGACAATATAAAATACACAAGCTGATTCTCATGTGTATACTAAGAGATATGTCAAGATACTACTCACCACTTTCCCACCAGACTTTGTTTCAGCTGCACTCATTGTAAATGTTTTTGTCCCTTTATCGTAAGTACAGTAATGTTTTACCCAGGTAAATCCAAGGGGTCCTAGATGAAAGAAATGTAACAATTTTTTTTTAAAAATCTCGGTGGACATTTTACCACAATTTTATCATGTTATGGATACATGTTGTCTCTCTCATTTGTATTTCACAGGCAAATATTAAGCTGAGTCAGCAGCAAATCAAAGAGAAAAAAAAGTTGTCTGTTTTACTTCTGAACTATAAACACATTCTTATGGTGCTTTCACCACATTTTTTATGCTGGCATCATTTTCACCAACACTCAAGTTATATCAGAAGGAGAAAATTTTTCAAATCATTTTAAGGCACCTAAAGAAGGTCTGATATTGAAAAGTGCAGAGCACCTGCAGCTCTCATTCATGTCGACTGTAGTTGGAGATGCTTAGCATCTCTGAAAATCAGGCCACTTGTGTTTGAGTGGGTAAGTACGTCTTTATGGAGGCAAATACTTGGCACCCAGCTTTGAACATTTTAGCCCACACATGCCTGATTTGTGACATTATACTTGTTATTTATAACCCATTGTCCAAGTGAATACAATCCATTTTAAATCCAATTTTATTCTTTCCTGGCATCGTCTACAAATATTATCAAAACTTTGTTCTGAGGGATACCTAGTGCTCCTTTCCTCCAACCAATACTCACCATGCTATTTCCACAATATATTGTTATAGCATTTTACAAATTTGCTTTTTGGGAGAAATGAAATAACTCATTGTTTCATAGCCCAACGGTATCTTTAACCTCTTGTGTGGTACTAGAAATAAACATGTATAGTATTACATTCAGGAATGGCAAATATTAACCAACCAACTTTTGGACAGCATACATAACTGGTTGTGGGAAGCTAAAGCCAGCATGATAAGGAAATAAACAATTAGCACCTTCATCTCTGAGGCAGAGATTACAGACCTTCTGACTTTTCCCCAAAATAAACTAATGATCAAATCCTTTTTCAGTGAGAGGATGTCAAGTTGGCCTCTCACCATTTAATGAAACACTTCATGTGCCTAACATTTCACTCCTTTCTTGCTCTCCCATTAATAATGCCCAGTATAGTTTCCACTTAACACTGTTTTTTTTTATTATTATTATTCAATTAAAGTGTACATGCTCTGCTCAAACCTCGTCTATGCTACTGCTATTGCTGCTAAAAATCAGCAAGGTTAAATAAGAACAGAACAATGGCTCTCTCCTTTTTGGTCATATATGTTAATAGGAGTTAAGGCCAAGATTTCAGTGGGAAAGTCAATTATCTATAACACACTACAATTCCTTGAAATGGTTTTGGGAAGGCAGATATCCTCGTGACTGAATCTATAGTCTTTGGGTAAGACCAGGTATGATACAGGAGATTCTAATGCCAGATGCCAAGTATTTTAATGTTAGATATAGAAATTAGGAATGAATCAAAATTGGATTTGTATTCAAATAAATACCAGCATTTTATCATGATCTGTATTTGTTAGATCACCAAACTTGCATGCACACATACACATCTCAAACAAGGTCTCCCTACTTCTCCAGCTTCAGCCAGGCCCTCCTCAAACAGAGCACTGCATAGCACACAGGATTGAAATTGCTTTACTAAGCGGTTATAATGAACTTGGTGCAGCTCACTCAGCCCGATTGTTTACATTTGATTAGCTCTGAACAGTGCTATTTGATACTGCAGATCACATACAGCTTTTAATCTCTCTTCTGTCCTCAGTGTTTGGTATCCAGGGCTGTTCACTCTTTTAGTTTGGGTCAAACTGCTCTATGGTACATGAATAGCGTAGCTGAAGTTGCGTATTTTAGGTCGACTTACCTGGCTGTGAGGACAGCGGTGACTCGACCGCTGCCGCTCCCCCGTCGACTCCGCTTCCGCCTCTCACCGCGGTGGATGTCCGGAGTTGACGGCAGAGCGATCGGGGATTGATTTTATTGCGTCTACACTAGACACGATAAATCGATCCCCGATAGATCGCTCGCTACCCGCCGATCCGGCGGGTAGCGAAGACGTGCCCTCAGTGTTCTTGGTTAAGTCCATTAACTTTTTATTCTATTTGCTTAACCTCTTTGGACCCTGCTTAATTCCAATGCCTTTTCTTATCACTTGCGCATAGATGAGCTATAAATCTATACCTCTTTATCAGGGTTCTCCAGTTACCTTTGTTTTTGTATTTCATGTTGTTTCTCTCACATATCAAATTGGAAGTTATACTTTGTTTTGCTTCTAAGTCTCTACATCTTATGCTTTGCCCCCAAATGTCTCATGGATTGGACACTGGGTTGCTCCCTAGAACTCCTTGATCACCCTATATCTGTGAGGATCTGCTAGAGGCACTGGGGCATTTGGGAGGCATAAGACTGCTGGCTTTCAAGAGACACAAGTGGTGGCAGGGGGTCACCTGAGGCATGTGAGAGTGCTGAGAGGCCAGTCTGTCAGTTTTAAAGAGAAAGGCCTCTAACAAATCAGGATTCTTTTTTTCCAGCTTATGATTAGTTGGGGCCAAACAGCTCCTGGGAGAGTTCCCTGTGGGCCAGTCTGACCTTAAATACAAACAAATCAACAAAACAGATATGAAACCTGCCTTACAATTTACCTGGAACAATTTACTTGGCATCCCCTACAAGCTGAAATGCAATAAGGCAATCGTCAAATACTGGTTGTACACAGATGTAATTACTCACGTTTCTCCTGCACATAGAGATAGCCTTCCATTGTCCACTGACTGGGTGGTTGGTAATCCTGGTTGGCAGATTTCATTCTCTGCATCAGTCTCTCTACTTCCTGCCTGGTACTTTCAAAATTATTTCGTGTCTAAGGAAAATAAAACGAGCAAAATCGTACTAGTAACTTACTATTTCTGAAGAATCTAAGACTATAAGTATAGGTAGTATTACTACCTCTACTACTACACTGGCATATGCTAGTACATTCACATTTAAACAAACCGGGATGCTGCTCCAAAGGAAATTAAGTTCTTAACCCTAGACATACGCTATCCTCATTACTACTGTGTCAGCGGAGCACTGAAAACCTTGACTTAAACCCACAAAAGTCAAGGAAATTCAGAGTGAAGAGCAGGAGCTAGATCAGTGGTTCTCAACCTTTCCAGACTACCGTACCCCTTTCAGGAGTCTTCTTTTTCTTGCGTTCCCCCAAGTTTCACCTCACTTAAAACTTACAAAATCATACATGAAAATACAAAAGTGTCACAGCACACCATTACTAAAAATTTGCTTACCTTCTCATCTTGACAATATAATTACAAAATAAATCAAATAGAATATAAATATTGTTCTTACATTTCAGTGTATGGTATATAAAGCTGTATAAACAAGACATTTTATGTATCAGAGGGGTAGCCGTGTTAGTCTGAATCTGTAAAAAGCAACAGAGGGTCCTGTGGCACCTTTAAGACTAACAGAAGTATTAGAGCATAAGCTTTCGTGGGTGAACGCCCACTTCATCAGACGCATTTTATGAAATTTTAGTTTGTACTGGTTTTGCTAGTGCTTTTAATGTAGCCTGTTGTAAAACTAGGTAAATATCTAGAGGAGTTGATGTACCCCCTGGAAAATCTCTGCTTATCCCCAGAGGTAGATGTACCCCCGGTTGAGAAGCACTGTGCTAGACTTCACTGAAAGTACATTCAGTATCTTGCAAAATCTAGCCCTATCTGGTCAAAACATACAATCAGATATTTGCATGTTTGTGAAAATTACACCTTGTTCCTGCAGCAAATTTTAAAAGGTCAGTAAGAATAATCCTAATCCTAGTACTTAACTGGTATATACTGTATTATATTTTCATGTACCGAAATTAACTAATTAATCCTCACAAGGTCCCTGTGAAGTAGGAACAGTATGTACTAAACTAAAGCTGAAATTTACTTAGCCCATGTCTGTACAGCACTTTGAAGATGTAAAGCACTGTAAGTAAAGCACTGTAAGTACTGTAAACTCATGCCACTGTAATTAGAAAACAATAAGTGATTTAACTGACAAAAAAAAATTAAGCCCCATACATTCATGGCTTTAAGCATTAGTATAATCACATGCAGGTTGAAGCACTCCTCTCTGAGGCAAATTGTGTTTAGCTAGGTAGCGAAGTCTAAAGAGGCAAGGTTCCTCCAAGAACTTTTAAAGAAAACTTTTTCCTAGGGAGACCAAAGGTCCAATCCAAACTCCACTGAAGTCATTGGAAGTCTGGCCATTGACTTCAATGGGCTTTGCATCACGACCCCTGTGCCCCTGAAACCAGGAAGGACCCTGTTTTCAGTGCTCATCCATATGTCACTGCTGATGTTTTTTTTTAAACCAAGACAGCGTTTTGTCTCAGTTCTTGTCAAACCAAGCAGAGTGGCCACCTGAAGGAAGTGGCTGGCAAGCTGATCCAGTGAAACTGACATCAGGCTGGGTGAGAACATGTGGACTCTTCAGGACCTATCACTTCAGAAAGGGCTGTCACATATTATTGTTGTCCTTCCCTCTATCAGGTCACCCAATGAACAACCCTCTTGAGACAGCCTTCCCTCATGCAGAAAGTGTGATTCAAGTTCAGTCTGAGACTGGGCACTGCTGTGAGTGATGAGTCTACAGGCAGCTCAGTCGATTCAAGCTTCTGCTCAACTCCTCTACATTGCAGGTGAGTATTGGCCTGTGAAAGGGGCTATTAGAGGAAAGAACAAAAGGGGAAAAGGAGGCAGACCAAAGGATAGAGTGGATGTGATGGAGTGAACACATGTTGCAGAGGATGAAGGTGAGATAGCAGGGCAAAAGGTAGGGAGGGAAGATGAAAGAAGCAGGAAAGAGGAAAACAAAAAGAGAGAAAACTAAAGCATTGAAAATATAAGACAAAGGAGTGGACACCATTTTTTCTCCTCCACTTCCTCGTCTCTTGAGAGCTTCCTATATGCCTCCCTGATCACCACCACACCCAACTAACTCCCCCCTCTCTCTCCTGCAGGAAAACCATCGCCGTTTTCTGTTCATCACCCTTTTGCTTACATAATTTTAAGTGTCTAGCTTTCACATGTTTGGGGGGGGAAATCAAAAAGGTTTCTTCTTCTCGCTGCCTGACCCAGAGCTATGGCCCTGCAGATGTCATCCCACAAGCAATTTAAAAAAGAGATTAACAATTATTTAAACAAGAGAAAGAGGTGAATGTCTTTTTACCTAATGGTAAAACAGGAGAAACAATTTAGCAATTCTGGTTCTCGTGGCACATTTACATAGAAGGTGTTAACACAGTCTCAATTTATTTTTTATCTATCTTTGGTCCATTATCCTAGACCCAGACTGGTGGAGATCTCCCATACTTTAAACTACTTAAGTCACTGGACTGGAGCATGGGTATTTTCTCATCCCTGCAGTGAAGCAAGAGTGACCCCTTGTGCCTTTAACAAAAGTGGCAAATATACAATTTGGAAGAAGAAAAGATTGTGAGGACTTGCGGACAGAGGGGGACTTCTGTGTGCAGACCTGTGTGTGAAGTGAGGGCAGTGTTAGCGATCACCACTCTATGTCCTTGGACCGTGCTCTCCATGGGTTTCAGGATCCACATGTGGGAGCAGGCATAAAGGAGGATAGAAGGGTTGGGGCCAAGTGAGATACACATTGTATCTCACATCAAACCTAAGAAGAATACATTAATACAGTCCAGGGCAAAACCACCTCCATACTGTGGAGTCCTTCACCCTTAAGGGAGTGGTTGCAGGGGCAGCAGCTAGCAGTAAAAGTCCTGTCAGCACATCTCCCCTGGAGCCATGGAGACCAGCAATTGGCCTGTAGGCTGCAGGTTTGGGAGAGGTGATCTCTCAGGTAACTAGAGCCAATCCCCTGGATGACTTTCAGTATCAAGACAGGGACTTGGAAGTACACTCCATATTCAATGGGGAGTCAGTACAGACAACAGACCAGCAGGGCTAGTGGATCATGGAAACCTGTGGTGCTAGACAGATGAGCTGCTGCATTCTGTACCACATGAAGCATTTCCTGGACATAGTGCCTAAGTTAGGAAAGCACCTGAGCACGTGCTTAAGTCCATCTCTATTCAAGACAACTTAAATATGAACTTAAAGTGTGAGCTTAAGTGATGTCCTGTACAGGGATACATTTGTGAATTGAGGAGACAGTGAGTTGCACTAGTCAAACCTGGAGATCATGGATCAAACATCTGACAACTGATTTTCAAAGATTTCTGGTGGAAAGAAACTTGATGCCATACCTTTCATTCAGCAAACACTTTTCAATTATTCATATTTTTTTATTTACGTTTCAAAACATTTCAAGATTTAGAATTGCAATAAAGCATTTCTACTCGCTCTTTTATTATTTTGAAATTCAATTAGCTGAGAAATTGTAGTAAATACGGTTCAATCTTACATTCTGCAAGTTGAATTGCAACTGTTGCTTGTATGGGGTGAACTCCTGGGCCAGTTCATATCCCTCATGGTAAAAAGTAAATAATCCCTGAAGAAATGCCAAAAGCTGGAAAGGTAAAATAAGATGTTAATGCCAAAACATGCATTACAAATATTAAGAACCACGAATATCAAAACAGGCATTATAAATATGAATCATCACAAATATAACAGAACACATGCTGATTTAGAAATGACATAAGAACATAAGAATGGCCATACTGGCTTAGACCAAAGGTCCATCTAGCCCAGTATCCTGTCTTCCAACAGTGGCTAGCGCCAGGTGCCCCAGAGGGAATGAACAGAATGGGTAATCAACAAGTGATCCATCCCCCGTCGTCCATTCCCAACTTCTGGCAAACAGAGGCTAGGGACACCATCCCTGCCAATCCTGGCTAATAGCCATTGATGGACCTATTGTCCATGAATTTATTTAGCTCTTTTTTGAACTCTGTTATAGTCTTGGCCTTCACAACATCCTCTGGCAAGGAGTTCCACAGGTTGACTGAATTGTGTGAAAAAAGACTTCCTTCTGTTTGTTTTAAACCTGCGGCCAATTAATTTCATTTGGCGACCCCTAGTTCTTGTGTTATGAGAAGGAGTAAATAACACTTCCTTATTGACTTTCTCTATACCAGTCATGATTTTATAGACCTCTATCATATCTCCCCTTAGTCGACTTTTTTCCAAGCTGAAAAGTCCCAGCCTTATTAACCTTTCCTCATATGGCAGACGCTCCATGCCCCTAATCATTTTTGTTGCCCTTTTCTGTACCTTTTCCAATACCAATATATCTTTTTTGAGATGAGGCAACCACATCTGCATGCAGAAAAAGTTATTAACTGCAAAAGAGAAAAGCAATTTCAAAGCACAACTGACCCATTGTCCTTATATACAGGTGAATCTTAAGATGTTGGAAAACAAAAAATAAGGATACCTTATTTGTTGATCTCCTCTAATTAGCAAAACTATTATCTTAATACTTTTGGAGCCCATGCATGCATTCCTGGAACACTCAAAATTCTCATCACTTTGAATGGCAGCTTTGCATGAGCAAGGAATGCAAACTTTCAAAGTTCAAGGGATTTTTGTTTTGTTTTGAATCTATGACAATTCAGAACATTTTTCCACCTTCCTCATTCCAAAATCTCTGTCTATGACCTATTTTCTCCAGATGAGAGTCTTGAAAATAAGTTTTGGACAGCTTTATAACTGAAATGAATACAAAAAGTTCCAGACCACGTCTTCCTGCTCTAAAGAACAAAATATAAACTCTGATGAACTTTAACTGGTATGTCTTTTACAGTTTCCAGTAAAGAAATTTAAATCTGTATCAAGACTTTTTTTTTTTTAATTAACATTTAAGCAGGAAAGAGTTCCACTGAAGTTTTCGAAAAACTCATTTTGGTCCTTTAATAAATATAATCCTGCCATCTATTTATGTTTAAAAGCCTTGTATTTAGGTTGTTGTTTTTATACTGTGCCTATTGATAATAAAAAGAGGATGACTTCTGATAATGCAGCAAGTTATATCACTATTAAACCTTTTATAGCTAGTTTTTCTTGTGGCATATGGCATAATTTAGTTTACTGTAATTATCTAAACATAAGAGCCTGAAAATGAAAGCACTATAGATACAAAGTATTATTAGTACTATTTTTATAATTATAGTACTTTATGTTTGACATACAAGTCAAATCTACAATAAGGATGTTTTCCACTTGGATACATAATTGAAAAGGCGGAAATCAAATGCTTAATGCATTTTTTCTTTATTTATGTTAGCAATACCACAGATTATGAAAAATGAAACATTTTTAAAGTACTGATTTCACCATTTGTGCAATTTATATGATTTTTTTTTTGCACTTCTCTCACCTGGGATATTGAAACTAGATTGTTCTGTCTCATTCACTTGTTTCATGTGCCAACAGAGTACTGCATTCTAGGGTGGCGAACAATGCAGTTGAATATTTGAAATAAAGCTGCTGCTGAGGATGATACTTTGTACATCTAGAGACCCTATGACCCAAAAAATCCCTCAATGCCCACTGGTAGAGGGCCCACTATACTGTAACTCATATCAGGCTGGGCACACTCACTACCCCCAACACCTGTTGTCATAATATGTATCTAAAAAGTATCTTGTAATGTGTCGTATGTAAATTGGTGACATGCTGGTCCTGACAAATCACTGTAATGTGCGTACTGGTTGGGTACAAAGAGTTACATATGTGTGCCGACATAGATTCTTAAAATATATTTGGGAGGCAGTGCATGTGTAACCCACACTCCTCCTGGTGTGGTGTTCTGTCCCATCTAGTGGCACCAAGACCACTTAGTGAGAGTTAAATGAGTCTGCTCTACAGCCTTAGGTAACAGCCAGTTGGCTTTTAGCTCATGCTGTAGAGGCTCATGGACTAAGCTCCAGACATCCCCGGTTCAATCCCACCCGCCGATAACCAGGGTCTGTAGGCGTTACACATACATCGAGCCTGCCCTAGACAAGGAATGTGGATTGCCTTGTCTGATTGGCTTGAATACAGGCAGAGGACAATTAAAGTATATTTGCATATAAGGTAAAAAAAGCAATCAAGCTAATGGAGGAAGTAACTTAGAGAGCTCACCAGAGGTCAGAGTCTGTACCCCAGGAAGCCTTCCTGGTTTTTGACGCAGAGACAATGGTCTTTGGTCAATATAAGGGGAACAAAGACACATTTTAGTTATCCACCACTTAGGGGACAGAGAATACAACATCGTCTGAGCCTGTGAAAATTGGATCCCCTGGCCTGGAGGGCTAGAGATGCCGGTAACTTGATGCAAGTAAGAAAACTGCTTAGGCAAAGACTGTAAATTCCTAAAATTAAGTTTGAGTCACTAGAAAGCATGTTTTGTTTTGCTTGTAACCAGACCTCTCTCTTTTTCTCTTTCTTAGTAGCACTTAAATCTCTGTTCTTTATTAAGCTTATGCTTGTTTTATTACAGAACCACCTCGGTGCTGTGTATTAAAGTGAAGTGTGAGTCTTCAGCTAACTTAACAGGCCGGTAGGTGCACCGTCTCCTTGGAGTGTGTCACAGTGAGAGGAACTGGACATTGCAGAGAGACATCTCCAGGGAACTCGATATCTGGGGTTAACTGACTGTTACCTGCAAGACAAGGTTTAGACTGGCAGAGTCTCAAGGAGATTGCCGGTGAGGTACACAGACTAGCGTGGCAGGGAGCTGACACACAGTCTAATCGCCAGCAAAGCTCTCACCTGCTGAGACAGAGGGGTAACACAGTGGTTTTAAGTTCTAGGTGTCCTGAGCAGAACATTACGGGCCTTTCAATCTGTGTTTCTCAACACACTTTACAAACAACAATTCATTAAGTTTCACAATACTCTTTTGTAGGTCAGTAAGTATTATTATCCCTAGAGGGAAACTGAGACAAAGAAATAAAGCTCTCAAGGTTGCTCAGCAAGTCAGCGGCAGAGCCTGGAACATAAAATAGACCTCTTGCGCATTAAGCTTTTTTAACACCCTATGTTTATTTTACATATATGGCTCTGAATTACATGGCAATGTCCATTTCAAAGCAACTGCAGATTACACAGCCAAGAGGAAAGATCCTCAGCTGGTGTATAATTGTCATAGCTTCATTGACTTCAATTGGGCGATGGCAAGTTACACCACCTAAAGATTTGTCCCTTGCAACTTTCTCTTTATTAGAGGTTTTGCAAATAAAATGTGACAATTTCTCAGAAAAAATCAGAGCTCTAGCCAAGATCTGAGAATTAACATTGACTAGGGAATTTTTAAATTTGCGTTTTCCTCATCTAAAATATTTTTAGGACATCTTTTGTTTTAAAGCTACTCTGTAAATTTTTTTTTTAATGTGAAAAACCAAAATTAGAAGAATGCACTCTATGCTTATGGTGGGCTTTTTTAAATGACTAAACTATTAAAAAAAATGCACTGACCCCTTCTTGCTGTGTCACTTTATACGTTTTTTAAAGATAAGTTTAAGACCTGTTTGTGAAGAACACTCACTTTTGGCTGTTTATTCTATAGCTCTGGGAAAGATGCATTAAAAAAAAAAAATCAGCAAACCTCCTTCACACATGTCCTTTATATTTTTTTGTCTTCATTTTCCCTAATACAAAGGGCTTTTGTTAAGGTTTGAGCATACTGTGAAATGAGAAAAAAATACCTGGCACTAGATGGCAGCAAAGTTGAATTTATAAGAAAGGATAACACAACTGGATAAATATAAGGATAAAATGCTTTATGTTTTAGCTATGGTGCATTAAGTTGTGTTTGTTTGTTTTTAAGTGACTATTCTTGCAGTGTGGTGGTTGTGCATTGCATGGGATCTGGCCTTGGGAATCTCTTGGTCAAGGGCTCCCCAAACACCCCCCCCCACCTACCCACCTCCCAAAATGTTAACGTGTCTCTCTCACTCAGTCCCCTGATGTATTTCATGCCCTGTGTAGAAATCATGTATACTGAGGATGCAGGTATGCATGTATGTAAACACCACTGATAGTGGAAGGAGACCCTGTTCTGTGATGCCCTTCCACAGCCCCTGCAGGAGAGATCATGGCCTGGCCTAATAAGCACTGTGTTTGGGGAGCCAAAATTGAGGTGAAAAACTTTTGTCCCTAGCTCATGATGTTTGTAGCTTTTTGGTGGCTACTTACAAGCAGCACTATGTCAGAGTCTGGCCCATTACATGTAAATTTAGAGAAAGCATGCCGAATGGTTTTTTTTAAAGATGATTCTCAATATGTATTTTTCAAGGTGATCTTAATGTGTTAAGAAGTGATTGGTTTCACCAAATGTTACATACAATCCCCAATGTGTTTATATTATCAATTTTCCAAGTGCAACAAGCACTTTACTGCTACTTCACTCTGAATACCTAATCAGCCAGATCAATACAGAAATCAGACTTGTACTCATTTAAAACAATAATCTGTCTGCATGCTGCGAGAGCTGCAAGGATTTCAACAGAGAACCTGAAATAGAATCCAAAGACTGCTTGGGCCTTTATTTATTTTTATGTAAAGTTTGTGACCCTGAGA